AGCCGTGCTAGCATTTATAACTGTAAGCAACTCAGAAAAGCATTATGCAAACTGGTGAAAACAGATAAGCCATTTTTAATGGCTATCAAAGAGAGATTAACTTTATTACTTCTTAAATCATAGCTTTTCACTCGATGCAACAAATATTTGTTGATTTCTTACTTTGTGTGAGGCATAGGAGAACTCAGACAAAAGTTTCTGTCTTCATAGAGTTTGCATCCTGATTGGAGATACAGGCAATAAGATAAATGTAAACAATTTATTTTACCTTGCAAAAAAAAGACAAATATAAATCAGAAAAATATCTTGCACATTAGTTGATAAGTGTTGAAGAGAAAAATAAAGTAGGGAGCAGGAGTGGTGGCTTATGCCTGTAATCCAGCAATTTGGGAGGTCGAGGCAGGTGGATCACTTGAGGTCAGGAGTTTGAGACCAGGCTGGCAAACATGAAGAAACCCCATCTTTACTAAAAACACAAAAAATTAGCTGGTCAAAGTGCATATGCCTGTAATCTCAGCTACTCAGAAAGCTGAGGCAGGAGAATCGCTAGAACCTGGGAGGCAGAGGATGCAATGAGCTGAGATCACACCACTGCACTCCAGCCTGGGTGACATAGTGAAACTCCATCTCAAAAAAAAAAAAAAAAGAAAAAGAAAAGAAAGTAGGGAATGGGTATGGTGGGGATGGCTGGAATCTTCCCTGTGGCCAGGGAGGACAGTATCCAAAGGAGCCAAGCAGATATTTGCAGGAAATGTATTACAATGGATGGAATATCAAGCACAGAGGCTTTGAGATAGGTGTGGCAGGAGCCCAATATGGGAGGAGAAAATATTAAGATTGCAGTGATAATGAAAGGAGATCAGATCACGAAGGACCTTGTGAGTTGTAAAAAGGACTTTGACTTTTATTCTGAGTGAGATGGAAACTGTTGAAGGATACTTAAGTAATGAGTGACCTGATCTGCCTTCTATTTTAACAGGATAAGTTTGGCTGCTGTGTTCAGAATACAACAGTGGAAGAAGCATAGGCATCAGTTAGGAGGATATTACAGTAAGTAATCCAAGTGAAGGATCCCAAACAAGACACTGGAGAGAGGAATAAAACCTCAGGGTAATTATTCCCCTGAATTTCTCCCTACAAGGTCACCTGGTTCTGTCTCTTGACAAAAGGCTATTATTCCTCTTAAGATAGCTAATTCTACAAAATTATTTCCTTTCAAATTGTAACCTCCTTTCTTGTATCTTTGGGCCTAGGAGTGGTGGCATCTTGGCTACTACAGGTATTAAGCTTGACATTATTGAACTGTCCCTAGATGTTTGCCAATATCTATATCTTGTAAGTATTCCTTTATACAATAAGCCCTCATAGCATTATCCTTCTTCAAATGTGCCATGTTTCCTGTCGAAACTCTGATGGATACATGAATTCTTCAGTTTGAGATGCAATGTTTTAAGTATTCCCATTAAATCAAGATTACTAATTATGTTCAAATATTCTATATTACTGCATTTTAAAAAATCTGTATGATCTATGAGTTACTGACTGATACATTAAAAGCTTCTATTATTACTATTATCCCCTGTGCCTTCAAGAACCGGATTCTCAAACAGAAGAGAGGAAGTAATATAGATTATAGAAGAGGTCATAAAAACTCTGTAGCACTAAATTTGAATTGGAACTATTAATATGAACCTGAGAGATGTACTTATATGTGTATGTATGGATGTTTATCTTAGCCCTGTCCACCAAGACTAGAAAAATAACCAATCCAATAATAACGAGCAACCCTGGCACCCAGATAACCAGATTGTGGTTCTGAATTAACATTTGCCACTCTTCTTAAAGAAACCAAGTCTTCTTAAAAAAATTGTTCATTCCAGGAAATGGGCAAGATGATCCTGGAACATCTTGTCATACTAGTTAGCAAGAAAGCTATCAAAGATTACTAAGTGATTTGGTTTGGCTCTGTGTCCCCACATGAATTTCATCTTGTAGCTCTCATAATTCCTACATGTTGTGAGAGGGACCTGGTGGGAGGTGATTAAATTTTGGGGGTGGGTCTTTCCTCTGCTGTTCTCATGATAATGAATGAGTCTCACTGGATCTGACTGTTTTAAAAATGGAAATTTCCCTGCCAAGCTCTCTTTGCCTGCTGTCATCAAAACAAGACAGGACTTTGTTCCTCCTTGTCTTCCCCCATGATTGTGAGCTTCCCCAGCCATGTGGAACTGTAAGTCCAATTAAACCTCTTTATTTATAAATTGACCAGTCTTGGGTATGTCTTGATAAACAGCATGAAAACACACTAATATTGTAAATTGGTACTGAGAGTGTGGTGTTGCTGAAAAGATACCTGAAAATGTGGAAGCGACTTTGGAACTGGGTAACAGGCAGAGACTGGAACAGTTTGGAGGCTCAGAAGAAGATAGGAAAATGTGGGAAAGTTTGTAATCTGTTGAATGGTTTTGCCTGAAATGCTGATAGCAATATGAACAATAAGGTCCAGGCTGAGGTGGTCTCAGATAGAGATGAGGAACTTGTTGGGAACTGGAGCAAAGGTGATCTTGTTATGTTTTAGCAAAGAGACTGGTGCCAATTTTCCCCTGCCCTAGAGATTTGTAAAACTTTGAACTTGAGAGAGATGATTTAGGGTATGTGGCAGAAGAAATTTCTAAGCAGTAAAGGATTTAAGAGGTGACTTGGGTGCTGTTAAAAGCATTCAGTTTTAGAAGGGAAACAGAGTATTAAAGTTTAAAAAATCTGTAGCCTGACAATGTAATAGAAGAGAAAATCCAATTTTCTGAGGAGAAATTTAAGCCAGCTGCAGAAATTTGCATAAGTAACAAGAAGCCAAATATTAATCCCCAAGACAATAGAGAAAATGTCTGCAGGGCATATCAGAGGTCTTCATGGCAGCTCCTGGAGGTCCCAGAGGCTTAGGAGGTTTTGTGGGCTCCTCAGAAAAACCTGAGGACCCAGGATCCCCAAGCTATGTGCAACCTAGGGACTTGCCCTACATTTCAGTCACTCCAGCCATGGCTGAAAGTGGCCAATGTAGGGCTTGAATTGTGGGGGGAGTCAGATGGTGCAAGTCCCAAGCCTTGGCAGCTTCCACATGGTCTTGAGCCTGCGGGTGCAGAGAAGCCAAGAATTGAAGTTTGGGAACCTCCACCTAGATTTCAGAAGCTATATAGAAACACCTGGATGCCTAGGCAAAAGTTTGCTGCAGTGATGGGGCCCTCATGGAGACCTCTGCTAGGGCAATGCAGAAGGGAAATGTGGTGTTGGAACCTTCACACAGAGTCCCCACTGGGCTGCCTAGTGGAGCTGTGAGAAGAGGGCCACTGTCCTCTAGACCCCAGAATGGTAGATCCACTGACAGCTTGCACTGTGTACCTGGAAAAGGTACACTGAGGCAGAGGAATCACTTGAACCAGGAGGTAGAGGTTGCAGTGAGCTGAGATTGCACCACTGCATACTGCATCAAAAAAAAAAAAAAAAAAAAAGACTTTGGACTGTGGACTTTTGAGTTAATGCTGAAATGAGTTGAGACTTTGGGGGACTGTTGGGAAGGCATGATTGGTTTTGAAATGTGAATATATGAGATTTGGGAGGGGCTGGGGCAGAATGATATGGTTTGGCTCTGTGTCCCCACCCAAATTTCACCTCATAGCTCCCATAATTCCCACGTGTTATGGAAGGTACCTGGTGAGATGTAACTGAATTATGGGGGTGGGTCTTTCCTGCACTGTTCTTGTGATGGTCAATGAGTCTCACAAGATCTGATGATTTCAGAAATGGAAATTTCCCTGCACAAGCTCTCATTGCCTGCTGCTGTCCATGTAAAATGGAACTTGCTCCTCCTTGCCTTCCATAATTGTAAGGCTTCCCCAGCCACATGGACTGTAAGTCCAATTAAACCTCTTTATTTTGTAAATTGACCAGTGTTGGGTATGTGTTTATCAGAAGCATGAAAACAGATTAATACACTAGAATTAAATCAAAACCACAAACTTGAAGTTGTTCCCATTCCAGATATGAGACAAATTTAAGCTTCAATAAGGATCATAATCACAACAGACTGAAACTCATCAAATCCATGAGTTCATAATGATAAAAAAATTGTGAGCACAAAAATGGATTTGAGTAACAGATATGTTACCTTGAAAACCAATAAAGGAAAAGATAAAAAATTTAGCCTACCTTTCCCAGGCTGGGTGCAATGGCTCATGTCTGTAATCCCGGCATTTTGGGAGGCCAAGGCAGGTGGATTGCCTGAGGTCAGGAGTTCAAGACCAGCCTGGCCAACATGGTAAAACCATGTCACTATTAAAAATACAAAAATTAGCTGGGTGTGATGGCACACACCTGTAATCCCAACAACTCAGGAGACTAAGGCAGGAGAATTGCTTGAACCTAGGAAGTGGAGGTTGCAATGAGCCAAGACTGCGTCACTGCACTCCAGCCTGGGACTCCATCTCAAAAAAAAAAAAAATTTATCCTGCCTTTTCTACATGAATTATACCATTGGGTAACCAAATAATAGATGAAGAGAAGTGTCACTTTATTGAAGTATTTCAACTAACAAAATAGAAATGTTAGAATTAGAAGGCTGGGTGCAGTGGCTCACGCCTGTAATCCCAGCACTTTGGGACGCCAAGGTGGATGGATCATTTGAGGTCAGGAGTTCGAAACCAGCCTAACCAACATGGTGAAATCCTGTCTCTACTAAAAATACAAAAAAAAAAAAAAATAGCTGGACACGGTGGCACAGGCCTGTAGTCCCAGCTACTTGGGAGGCTGAGGCAGGAGAACTGCTTGAACCTGGGAGGTAGAGGTTGCAGTGAGCCGAGATCATGCCACTGCACTCCAGCCTGGGTGACAGAGTAAGATTCTGTCTTAAAAAAAAAAAAAAAAAAAAGCAAGTGTTAGAATTAGAATACCACCACTTTGAAAGTCCCAGTAAATTAATGTCTATAAGTATTTAACAGAAATAATTGTTTTTTTTTTGAGGCACAAATACAATTTATTTCAATGTAATGGTACTTACCAAATGAAACCATTTAAATGCTTGTATCAAATGTGTTATCCAAAACAGCACAATATCATGATGCTCTCTAAGACTTACAGAATTAACCTAATTTACAGTATTGTCAAACATGATTTCATAGAAATTTGAACAAACACCACATCTAATTAGGTCAAACAACTACTGAGTTCAAATAATTGATATGGAAGTATTTTGGTAAAATGCCCACAGTGAGAGCAGTTTAAAAAGCAGCCCCTGTTTTCTACAGAAAAAGTTGTGACAGTGAATGACTCATCATATTCTCTGCAATACTACACAGCACTCACACACATTCAGGGGAGCAATACCCTGGACACACAGCTTATTTCATATTAGTGAACAAACTCAAGATTTTTATAAAGTTCTGACTTTGGGTCAGAAAATAAAATGACCCATAATACATATTTACAAACCCCCATTCCTAATGTCTTAAATCCTCTAGTTCTAAAAATGGCTTTTTGACTTGTCTTTAAAAAGAAAAAAGTGTGCAATGCGCCTGCATTTGTACTTGCTGAATTATGAAAAATGTATGTTAAATGAGAAAAAAACCTTGGGATGGTACTAATACACTTTGATTATGTACATGATCTTTGGGTATTCATGAGAATCAGTTTAACTGTTCGCTGCCTTATGAGAAACTTAATTTTCTAAGTTACCTAGGAAATGTATTTAACCATTTACAAAAACAAAAATTCTAATATGCACTTTACAAAATCATGCTCTTATATACCTGCATATTTCTTCCACATGACAGTTACACTTTAAAAGATATTGCTCAAAAACATAAAAATATATATTATTTCTTTCCTTTGCCTTTTATGCATATAAATATTTCACCGAAGATGATGCGTCATTCAATAAACAAATGCAAAAACTGTTGTATATAAAGTGTGGTTCTCTGCTATTTAGCAATATAAAATATAAAATGATAATACAGTTAGCTATTAAAGAGCTAAATTCAAGAGATTTGCAAACCAGTACAGCAGTGAACAGTACCTTGCATAACACAAAAGTCCATTAAGAAAAGTCAAGTCAATCTTGTAACAGGTTACATAAAAATATGGGCCAATAAATGCATTATGAATGCAAAAACGGCACTGCTTCATCAGCACATTCTTCAGTCTTCTTTGGACTAGATGCCAAACTTACTGTTCATTTTTCGGTTCGTCTTGCTTTCCATTAAGCTCTTGACCAACTTGTTTTATGCATTCTGGTATGCCAACGTATTCCATGGGGACAAGTTCTGCTAGTTCTGCCAAATTAAAGACGTATCTAATTTTTTGGCTGAATTTTGAGTTAATAAATGGCCTTGTAACAGCCAGAAGTGTTCTGATAAACCAACAAGGATGGACAATGATTAGGGATTTTAGATTTTTCCGTAACTTTCTATCGATTTGCTGATAACATTTCCTGAGCCACCCCAGACTGGGCATTTTTCTTCGAGTTGTTGCACCCTTTAAATAAACTATCATGTAGTTCTCTGCTATTAATAGCTCCAAAGTGCCAATAACATATTTAAAGAGATTGTCCATCAGGTATCTATAGTTAGGTTGACTACTTTCAGGCATGAAACAGACAGCAAACACAACAATGGCATTTAATCTATCCCCATAATATCCCCCATGGCTCATAACTTTTTTATAGGGTTCAATTGCTTTCATGTCAACCCTGTGGTCCTGTTCTCCAATCCTGAACATACGCCAGCGTCGTCCATCTTCTTTTTCCTCTGCTGCTGTATATTCAGTAATTGAGCCTTTCCTAATTACTTCAGTAGTCTTGGGTTTTGGAAGATCATCTTCCCACTCAAACTCGTTACTATTCTCAGATGGTGCATCTAAGCCATCTAAGTCAATCTCCCCACTTTCATCCAAATCATCTGACAATACAGAGCCATCGCTAGGATCCAGTGTCAGGCTAATGTCTGGAGCCATTAGTCTCTTTCTCACTTTATTTTCATTAACTTATAGGGAACCAGGCTGGTTCTCTGGTCCAGTTATAGCTAGTATATCTGCTTCAATACTATCATCTTCTGGTAAAGGTATTGGAAAATCTTCATCTTGCCATTCTTCTTTAAGTTCCACACCTTCCATCCTCAGCCTGGATTCAATGTCAACTACAAACTCTTGATAATCCACAGGGCCAATGTCCCCGGAGGAAGACTTGGCCCCCTTGTCCTCCTCGCTCCTCCAGGCAGGCGACATGGGGCTGACGGCCAGGTTGCAGAAAGCGGCGCCGAGCGGAGCCCGCTCCCCTTGGTCGGTGGTGGAGACCCCGGCCCAATCCCCCGGCCGCAGCGGCATGGCGTCGGCGGCAGCAGCTGACCCGGACGCCGGCAATAATTGTTAATATCACAACTAGACATGATGTGCCTCTTAATGAAAGACCACAACACTATATGGTTTGGCCAAAATGAATGACCCTGATTCTGTTCAGACCTCTGAATCTAGCTGCTAACTTGCAAGAAATAGAAGATTCAGAGAAATACAATGAATTGCATGCTCCTCTGACATAGTTTTAGGGTGGTCATTTTCTAATAATTCATTAAGCTACACATTTTTTAAGCTGCACATTTATATGTTACTCTTTATCTGTGTTTTAGTTTATAGTAAAAAACAAGAAATGAAATTTCCCACCATGCTTGGTAGAATTGTCTTTTCCTCCTTGGAGTTCTCTCAGTTTTTGTTTTCTCTGTGTGTGTGTGTGTGTATCTGTGTCTGTGTTTATATATCTATCTTTATACAGTTTACCCTTGAACACCATGGGGCTTAGGGACACTGACCCCATGGAGTTGAAATCCACATGTAACTTTTTTTGAGACAGGATCTTGCTCTGTCACTCAGAAAACTGAAGCTCAGTGGCACGATCATGGTTCACTGTAGCCTTGACCTCCCAGGCCCAAACAATCCTCCTATGTCAGCTTCCCAGGTAGCTGGAACCACAGATGAATACCAACCTGGCTAATTTGTATTTTTTGTAGAGATAGGGTCCAGCAATGTTGCCCAGGCTGGTCTTGAACTTCTGGACTCAAGCAATCTGTCCACCTCAGCCTCCCAAAGTGCTGGGATTATAGGCATGAGCCACTGTGCCTGGCCACATATAATTTTTGACATGCTAAAAACTTAACTACTAATAGCTTTTGATATGAAGCTTTATCGATGACATAGTCAATTAACACATATTTTGTATGTTACATGTATTGTATACTGTATAGTAATTAAGCAAGCTAGAGAAAATAAGAAAATATTATTAAGAAAATATTAAGGAAGAGAAAATGTATTCGCTATTCATTAGGTGGAAGTGGATCACCAGAAAGGTCTCCATCCTACTCAACATTGAGTAGGCTGAAGAGGTGGGATTGGTCTTTTTGTTTCAGGGGTGACAGAGTTGGAAGAAAATCTGTGTATAAGTGGACCTGCACAGTTTAAGCCAATGTCATTTAAGGGTTTTTTATATATACATACACACACACACACACACACACACACACATACACACATGTGTGTGCATGTATATTTGGCTATTTATGGTGGTAATAACATTTGGGACAAACAAGAATGACTGAAGAACTTCAAATCTGGGGAATGAGATGTCCATATAAAGGATTTGAAAAGCTTTGACATATACCTGGAAATTTTGAGGGCTACTCCCAATGCAGAGAACTGTGGACATGCCTGAGTTATGCACATGGTCAGAAAAGACTTGAGAAGGCCCTAAGCTCTTACCTCTGACTGGCCTTGAGTCTGCATAAGCAAGGATTTACAGCTAAAGCAGAGATGTAAACTGCCTGCTGAGTGTTAAATGTTTGCCCCAGTGTAGACACAGGGACCCTCAGCAAAGCCTGGGAGACTTACTGATTGTAGACATTTGAGGAAATTTCTGCAATTCAAAGCTGATGACTAAGCTAACTGAACAGAGACTTCAATGACCACACATGAAAAAGGATAGAGACTTTATAGAATTAGCTTAGGAAAGTTACTGAGAAACAGAACAAATAACCAGCAATATTAATAAACCCTGGGAAAGGAGAGAGTCTGATTTCCATAGTTATTACATTATATTATTTAAAATGACTATTTTCAACAGGAAATTATGAGAGTCAAGGTAGGGCCCATATACTGGAAACAAAGCAGTTAATAGAAACGGTCCCTCAGAAAGTCTCAATGCTAAAGTTACGAGGCTAAGTTATTAAATCAGCTATATTAAATGTTTGAAGAACTAAAGGAAACTATGTCAAAAGAACCAAAGTATGAAAATGGTATAAAACTTAAGAGAGAATATCAATAGGAGGCAGGCGGGGCCACCTAGGCAGTGAGCCGCAGCGCGACTCCTGCGCTCGCCCGAGGACCCTGGAAGCTACTGTTACCCCGCCGGGCAGCGTGGGCGCTATGGGCAGTGCAGGACTGAATTCGTAGAAGGTAGTTGCTCTGATACAGAAACTGAATTCCGCCCCTCCAGTTGGTACTTGCCCAGAATGTCGGGACCACCACGACCCGCTGGATATCTGCCTGAAGCGGGCCACGGTGCAGCGCGCACAGCATCCGTTCCAGCACACCGTGCCCCAGGAAGGCAAGCAAGCCCGTCACCAAGCAGAAGAGCTCAGGGCGATGCTGGATCTTTCCTTGTCTGAATGCTATGAGGCTTCCATTCGTGAAAAAATTAAATATTGAAGAATTTGAGTTTAGTCAATCTTACCTGTTTTTTTGGGACAAGGTTGAACGCTATTATTTCTTCTTGAATGCTTTTGTGGACGCTGCCCATAGAAAAGAGCCTGAGGATGGGAGGCTGGTGCAGTGTTTGCTTATGAACCCTGCAAATGATGGTGGCCAATGGGATATGCTTGTCAATATTGTTGCAAAATACCGTGTTATCCTTAATAAATGCTTCCCTGAATCTTATACAACAGAGGCAACCAAAAGGATGAATGATATTCGAATCACAGGATGAGAGAATTCTGTATACAACTATGGAACCTGGTACACAGTGGAGCAACCAAAGGAGAAATCTCAGCCACACAGGAGGCCATGATGGAGGAGATGTTCTGAGTGGTGTGTGTCTGTTGGGGTAATGCACCAGAGACATTCACCTGGGAGTGGCAAGACAAAGATAAAAATTATCAGAAGATTGGCCCCACAACACCCTTGGAGTTCTACAGGGAACATGTCAAGCCACTCTTCAATATGGAAGATAAGATTTGTTTGGTGAATGACCCTAGGCCCCAGCACAAGTACAACAAACTTTACACTGTGGAATACTTAAGCAATATGGTTGGAGGGAAAAAAACTCTGTACAACAGCCATTGACTTCCTGAAAAAGATAGTTGCTGCCACCATCAAAGATGGAGAGGCTGTGTGGTTTGGCTGTGATGTTGGAAAACACTTCAATGGCAAGCTGGGCCTCAGTGACATGAATGTCTAGGACCATGAGTTAGTGTTTGGTGTCTCCTTGAAGAACATGAATAAAGCGGAGAGACTGACTTTTGGTGACTCACTTATGACCCACACCATGACCTTCACTGCTGTCTCAGAGATGGATGGTCAGGATGGTGCTTTCACAAAGTGGAGAGTGGAGAATTCATGGGGTGATGGCCATGGCCACAAAGGTTACCTCTGCATGACAGATAAGTGGTTCTCTGAGTATGTCTATTAGGTGGTGGTGGACAGGACACATGTCCCTGAAGAGGTGCTAGCTGTGTTAGGGCAGTAACCCATTGTCCTGCCAGCATGGGACCCCATGGGAGCTTTGGCTGAGTGATACTGCCTCCAGCTCTTTCCTCCTCCCATGGAATCTGACGTAGCTGCAAAGGACAGATCCGGGGACTGAAGCCAAAGTTATGCAAGGGACTCTGTGTTGCTACAAGACACAGTCAGATTTCTGCCCTCCTCCAGGAACCTCTTCAGAAAATGTGCTTTATGCTGAAACAGAATACTCTTAAAGAAAATAAAAAGGGAACGATCAGGTCATACTATCTACTCTCTAACAGCTCAAGATCTCTTATAGCATTTTAACCAGATGTAATTGTTTGTCTTCAACTCTGTCAAAAAGTTTGGTTCTGTGTCTGTGTTTTAATAAGACAAGAGAGGATGAGCGATTGAGGTATATGGAGAGTAAATAGACTTAATGCTCCTTGTTCCTAGAGTAGAGTGGAGGGGAGGGCGGCCTGAAAATTGAGCTCTCGGAACTGCATGCTGCCAGACAGTATCACTCTTTCCTCGATAGCAGTCACTGAATTTCATTTTTTGAAGGTAATTTCTTGTGCCTCTAATAGCCCAAGAATGGGAGGTTGATCAGGTCTGACATGATTCCTTCCTCTTCTGAACCATGGGGAGCATAGCTCTGCTTGAGTCAGGTTTGAGTAGAGGCTTGGAGACAGTTGGATAATAACAACCAAAATCTTATCATGGTCTCAGTTATAATCATTAGGGGGAGCTCTAGCCAAATGGTTTAACTTCTGCCTTTGGAACTGGGGGTTGGGTGGGCGGAAAAAGGTGATATCCATTCTTTTTGATAACTAGATGGTGCTGAGAAGTTTTTGAATACAAACTTTGCTAAATGAGAAAAGAAAAAGAGAGAATATCAATAAAGAAATAGAAATTTTGATAATTTCTTTTTAAATAAAAGAACCAAATAGAAATTCTAGCATCAAAAAGTACTGAAACAAAAAAAATTCACTATAGGGGTTCAAGAGCAGATTTGAAAAAGAATCAGTGAACCTGAAGATAAATTAATTGAGAAAATCTGGCTGAGAAAGAAAGAAAAAGATAAAAGGATGAACAAAAATGAACAGAATCTCAGAGATCTATAGGATACCATCAAGCATACCAGTATATACATAATGGTAGTCTCAGAAGAAAGAAAAAGGAGCCAAAAATATGCTTGACAAAATAATGGTCAAAAACTCCCCAACTTTGATGAAAAACATTAATCAACACATTAAAGAAGCTCAACAGACTCCAATTGTAGTTGACCCTTGAACAACATGGATTTGAGCTGTTCAGGTCCTTGTATGGAACTTTCACCCACCTCTGCCATCCCTGAGTCAACAAGACCAACTCCTCTTTAGCTTACTCAATGTGAAAACAGAGAGGATGAAGTTCTTTCTGATTACCCATTTAATGAATAGTAAGCATATTTTTCTTATTATTTTCTTTTCTCTGGCTGACTTAATTGTAAAAATATAGTATATGATACTTAGAACACAAAATATGTGTTATTTAGCTGTTTATGTTATCAGTAAGACTTCTGGTCAATAGTAGGCTATTGGTAGTTAAGTTTTTGGGAAGTCAAAAGTTATATGTGGATTTTTTTCCTACCCTCTTCTCATGTG